TTGGCACATTGTAAATGTTCAATAAATAATGGCTCTTAATTTAGAAGTCTAATAGAAAACTGAGTACAGAGAAAGATAAGCTAGAGGTAGAGGAATGCACCAAATCCACCCTTCCGTGTTGTATGTTCTAGGGCTAGAGTTCTGCAAACTATCGTCTCCCTGCCAGATTACTTCCCATTAAAGCCTCCCAGTAGACTGCAAGGAGGAGCAGAAAAGGGACTTATTTAACCATTCTCCTTCCCGGCTATTCTTTTCAGTGTTACTCCAACGATGGCCCTTCACCCCTCAATGACATTTGGAGCCAGTGTCTGACTTTCCGTTTTCCCAAAACCTACTTCATTGTGCCCCATTAGAAGCACTAGCAATAACCAGGCAGGGCTCTCTCCTTTGATGTCTGACTTCTGCCCTTGGAGACTTCTCTGGGCATCTGAATTATGATAACCTATATTTTCTCTTAGTTTCCCTAGCCCCAGGAGTGGTAGCTACTTCTAGCAATTACTATCTCTGTGTTAAGTCAGTGTGTTCCCTTTTTACTTTTTCAAAAATAATAGCACCTGTTTAGCTAATTCCCTCTACTATATTCTGTTTATTAAAATAACTAGTGTGTAGCCGGGCACAGTGGCTCACGCCTATAATCCCAGCACTTTGGGAGGCTGAGGTGGGTGGATCACCTGAGGTCAGGAGTTCGAGACCAGCCTGACCAACATGTAGAAACCCTGTCTCTACTAACAATACAAAATTAGCCAGATATGGTGGTGCATGACTGTAATCCCAGCTACTCGGGATGCTGAGGCAGGAGAATCACTTGAACTGGGAGGCAGAGGTTGCTGTGAGCTGAGATGGTGCCATTGTACTCCATCCTAGGCAACAAGAGCAAAACTCCGTCTCAAAATAAATAAATAAAACTAGTGTGGTTTCTGTTTTTCTGATGAGACTTGACAGATATAGAATGTTAGAAATAAACTGTTAATGATGGTCTAGGCAAGAAGTAATGAAGGCCTGAAGCAAGACAATGGCAGTGGCACAGAGGAGACCCAGCAGGCCCAGATCACTGATTAGATGTGGGGAGGAAAAGAGGAGTTAAAGATGGCTTTGAAGTGTTGAACCCAGTGAATGAGAGGATGGAGATGCTATTCTGAGAAATAAGGAACATAGTGTGGGGAGACAAGGTGTTGAGTTTGGTGGTTGAGATCTACTGAGTTTGAGGTACTTGCAGGTTATCCAGTGGGAAAGTCTAGAAGGCAACTGGAAAGAGGCCAGGGCATGAATGGGAATCATCTGCATAGATGGATGAGATTGTCACAGGGGAGAGGTAGAAAATAGATGCAAATGGTGAGTCACCTTCCTCAAATGGAAAGATGAATGCTAAAAAGAGATCAAAGATGACAACTGATTTGAACTAACAGACTAAAAAGTATGAGAGAGAAGGGCAGGAGCAAGAGCTTATGGAATATGGATTTAGGGAGCTGGAGAAGGAGGAAGTATCAAAAAGGAGATTGAGTAGGAGGACAAGAAAGTAGTGTCAGTCAGGCACAGTGGATCATACCTGTAATCCCAAGGTGGGCAGATCACTTGAGGTCAGGAGTTCGAGACCAGCCCAACCAACATGGAGAAACCCTGTCTCTACTAAGAATCCAAAATTAGCCAGGTGTGGTGGCACATGCCTGTAATCCCAGCTACTCAGGAGGCTGAGGCAGGAGAATCGCTTCAACCTGGGAGGTGGAGGCTGCGGTGAGCCAACATTGCACCATGACACTCCAGCCTGGGCAACAAGAGCGAAACTCTGTCTCAAAAAATAATAGTGTTATAGAATCCAGGAAGGATTCATTTCAGAGAGGAAGCAGTCAGCAGGAGCTAAGGAGCAGCTTAATTGAGCAGAAGTTGGGAACAGCTGACAAAAGACAAAAGAGTTTGTGATTAAGAGGTTATTAGTGGGGCCAGGCACGGTAGTGATTGGTGAATCACTTGAGGCCAGGAGTTTGGAACCAGCCTGGCCAACATGGTGAAACCCCATCTCTACTAAAAATATAAAAATTAGCTGGGCGCTGTGGCACGCACTTGTAATCCCAGCTACTCAGGAGGCTGAGGCAAGAGAATCACTTGAACTTGGGTGGCAGAGGTTGCAGTGAGCTGAGATAGTGCCATTGCACTCCAGCCTGGGCGATGAAGCGAGACTCCATCTCAAAGGAAAAAAAAGAGGTTATTAGTGGTCTCAGTTACTAGTTGCAGATGAGGATGAAGATTAGGGGCAAGGAAGACTAAAGAGTCTAAAAGACTAAGGACTAAGTGGAATCTAGTCTTACAGCTTGGCTCTGAAAGGAGAGAGAAGGCAATAGCTTGTGGCAGAATAGCAAGGTTTAGTCTTTGTTTTATTTTAAAGCCAAGACAAACCCAATCATGTTTGTCAGGGCCAGGGGAACGTGACTGTTATGCTATTTTGCCATAACTTCATTCCTTTCTTCAAATGTCTTTATAGTCACATTGGAGACAACAAATTCAAATTCCTTTCGAAAATATCAGGCAAAATCTTGGTCTTCCCGGACCCTGTGACTTAGGATGGACGCTGGAGCCATGAGGGTGGAATAATTTGGATGTTCTATGTTTCAGGTATGTAGTAGTCATGAGAGCTCATGCAATAATAAATGTCCTCCCAATCTCAGTGACTCCACACAATATTTCTTTCTCATCTCATGGTCTGTTTAGCTGTTAGCAGGTGTTCTTCCTGCAGTGACTCAAGCTGCTTCCCACCTAGTGGCTCTACCATTTCCTCGGGCCTCAGTATCCACTGGACTTCTGCATCCAGACATATGGAAAGAATGGAGACTTTCCTGAAAGGTCATGGAGGCCAGAACTTCATTGGCCAAACGCAGTCATGTGTCTCAGTCAACAGTAAGGGAGCCTGCGAAATGTAGTGAAATAGCTTACCCAAGAAGCGGAGGGGAAATACCACGATTGCTGAACCACAGTAAGCTTCTTCCTTTGTTTTGTTTTTTCTTTTCTAAACTCACTCACTCTAATATGTAATAAACTTTTAGATTCTAGCAGAATTTGCATTTAGCCTGGCATGTACTCTCTCCTATTTCATTCACTTAACAAATGTTTATTAGGTGTCTACTATTTGTCAAGCACTGTGAATGGCTTGACATGTCACATTCTAACAAGGAGGCAAATGGGAATTCAGAATTTCAATACAATGAGATAACTGCTCTGTTAATTATATACTGGCTATAAGGGTACAGAGGTGGATTATTTCTGCTCGGGTAGTTCAGGAACAATTTGCAGAAGAGATGGCATTTGACCTGTGACTTGCTTAACAGGAGTTCACCACACTAAGAAGTTGGATTAGGCAGTAGAGATGGGGGGAGGTTCCCATCTTCCAGGAAATCTAGGCAGAAGGAACATTAGCAAAGGCATGATGGGGTAAGGGTTCTGGGCATATTTGGAAAGCCCCAAGTCTTTGTAGCTGGAACTTGTCTGGAAGAGATAGTCTAAAGCTAAATTGAAGGGGTAAGGCCGAGGCCAATTTGTGAAAGTCTTTATGTGATACACTGTTAGGGGCTGAATCGTGTCTCTGTAAAATTTATTTGTTGAAGTCGTAAACCGCTAGTACCTCAGAATGTGATTGCTGCATTTGTAGATAGGGCCTTGAAAGAGGTCATTAAGTTACAATGAGGTCATTCAGGTGGTCCCTAATCCAATATGACTGGTGTCCTTCTAAGATGTAGAGATTAGGACACACACCGCAGAGCAAAAACCATGTGAAAACACAGGGAGAAGACAGCCATCTCCAAGCCAAGGAGAGAGGTCTCAGAAGAAACTAACACTGCTGACACCTTGATCTGACTTCAGCCTTTCAGACTTCACCTTGTCTCACCTTCAGAAATGTGAGACAATACCTTTCTATAAAGTCACTCAGTCTGTGGTACTTTGTTATGGCAACTCTAGCAGACTATTACACATCCTAAAAAGAGGGATGGAGGGGATGTATTCTAGAGACATTTTGGAGTTAGAATCCAGGAGGATTGAGGTGTGAGGCAAGGTGGGGTGAGGAAGAGAGCAAAGCTAAGGATGGGCAAGTTTTTAGCTTCAGATTTCCTGGGTAGATGAATGATGGGGCTAGTAACCGTGAAATGCAGCAGAGGAGGAGGAGGTTGCATTGTCCTGTGGTCATTTCTCAAATGTGTCTTACCCCTTAACAAGCCTGGAAGTCCCAAACACAGTACCAAGATCATATATTGTTTTTAGACCTCATGTAGGACCTTGTCTAAGACACTACATAAGCAGCACTGAATAAATGCTCATTTCAAAGAAAGCCTTTTCCAGGGGACTTGGAGCATGGAAAAACCCATGAGTTAGCCAAGTATTCTACAGTTCTTATCACTAGATTTTCACTTGCTTTCATGTGTTCCAAATAATTCAGAATTGCACAGTGTTAGGAGAAGCACTGTGGTTGTTGAAAGCAGAAGCCCAAGCAGTGCTTGAGCGGCCGAGAACTTGCTGAAGAGGCAGGGAGAGGCATTTCTAATCGGCTGTGTTTCATTTGCGAGGCTGGCAATTTGACACAGAAATCTTAAGAAAATTGCCAAACCCCAGGGAATTGTCCTAGAATAAAAGAAAATCATCCTCATGTCATTTATAATAGAGGCAAATGCCACACTTTGTTGTCATTTCTGAGTTTTCAAGAAAGGTGTAACATTACAAAGCCCACAATAGGACAAAAGGATTGACTCTTCAGCAATTTTATTAGTTTTGATTTTCCTTTTAGATTTTGCTATCATGTTTTCTATTTTCTCCCAGACCTCTGTTTTCTTCTCCATTAGCAGTAACTGGAAAGACACTCAGCTGACAGATTCTGAGAGACTGCTTTCCTTTGCCCATTGTTTCTTCCTTCTCGCTCCTTTCTCAGTTGACATCAAATTTATTACATTCTCTGCAGCTCGTTGTTTGAACTAACTTTATGTTTTTTCACAATTCTATTTCAAAGAAAAGATCCAGAGCCATACAAGATAGCACTAAAACATTTATTTATTGCCTCTTCCCACTCCAAGTATTATAAATAATAAAGCATTTGTTACAAATTAAACTTTAAATAATTTTCTTCCAAAGGCCTCTTCTAACATTGGGTAAAGGCTATGATCACTTCTGAAGAGAAACAAATAATGTATAACTACACAGGAGAGGCTGTTTGGGGAAAGGTATCCATCTCTGCAGGGTTACTTGGCAAATGCTTTGAGCTGGCAAAAAAATCTGAGAAATGGTGCACCTCTTCATTCTTTCTTTTCCACTTGTTGTGTAAGGCCTCCAAACCCAATACCCGTGGGGCCAAAATTTTTGGCATAGCAAACTGTGAATGAGAAGAGGATAAAGGGAGAGACAATGCATTGGTTAGCAACATGTTTTCAGGGCCTTCTGTCTGGGCACAGTCCTTTCAATTATTAGAGACATCCTTTTGATCGATTTATGCATAAGTTTGCAAGGCACGGTTCATGCCTGTAATCCCAGCACTTTGGGAGATCGAGGTGGGCAGATCACTTGAGGTGGGAAGTTCAAGACTAGCCTGGCCAACATAGAGAAATGCTGTTTCTACTAAAAATACAGAAAATTAGCTGGTCATGGTGGCATGTGCTTGTAGTCCCAGCTAATGGTGGGTCTGAGGCAGGAGAATTGCTTGAGCCTGGGAGGCTGAGGTTGCAGTGAGCCAAGATTGCACCACTGCACTCCAGCCTGGATGACAGAGCAAGACTCCATCTAAAAAAAAAAAAAAAAGATTTATACATAAGTTAACTTTTAAATAAATTGAACAATACTTACCTTAGATCTGCTAATAAAAATTGTTAAACTTCTTGACGCTTAACTAAATGTGTTTGCAGACATGTTCTCATTTGAGTCAGTGACCTCTGAATTGCCTGCCCAGCCTCGTCCCCTGTTGCCTCCCGCCTCTGCCTCCCTTCCTACATTCCAGGCACACAGAACCACTTTAAGTTCCTGGAATGAACCATGATGTCCCAGCTTAGGTGTCTTTATAATCGATGATCCCTCTTCCTGGAGTGCTCCCTCCCAAACCCACATTCACCCATCAAGCCCCAGGGGAAGTGTGTCTTGTAAGAAGCCTTCCCCATCACCCTAAGTTGGTTCCTTTCCTCTTTTTAGACGACTACATTGTGAATGTTTCTCTACTAAAGCTTTTTTTTTCCACTTTGAAATGCAATTATTCATTTACATGCTAATTTCCCTATTGACTTCAGTGATATTTTAGGATATTATGAGCTATGAATGCTAAGGACCCCTACGTCTTCTACTGCCAGGAGATGGCAACCATCATCTGCCAGATAGTGGGCTAGTTCCCATCCTGTGTCATCATGGGAAAAGCTTTGGCAGTTGATATGGTTTGGCTGTATCCCCACCCAAATCTCATCTTGAATTGTAGCTCCCATAATCCCCACATATTGTGGGAGGGACCCAGTGGGAGATAATAGAATCATGGGGGCGGGTTTTTCCTGTGCTGTTCTCATGACAATAAGTCTTGCAAGATCTGATGGTTTATAAAGGGCAGATTCCCTGCACACATTCTCTTGCCTGCTGCTATGTAAGATGTGACTTTGCTTCTCCTTTGCCTTCTGTCATGGTTGTGAGGCCTCCCCAGCCATGTGAAACTGTGAGTTCATTAAACCTCTTTTTCTTTATAAATTACCCAGTCTTGAGTATGTCTTTATTAGCAGCATGAGAACAGACTAATACAGCAACCTACAGTTTTGATTTATAAAATCTTCCTTCTTAACTCCCGTACCATCGCTCTTTTCACTTCATTCCAATATACTCCTTTGGAGATTCTTGAGACACCATTATTAAGTGATGAAGCTCCACTAAGCAATAGAATAGGCCTAGGCTCAGGGGTGGAGGACACATCGCCTTGGCCCTCATGCATCCCTTCCTTTGATAGTGTCAGGAAGGAGCTAAGCCTCTACTATTTCTCCACAAGACCAAGGGATTATGGAGGCAGTGAGGGGCAGAGCCACGATGACCGAGGGTAAACCAGATTCATCCCTATGATCACTAAAGTGATGTACAACATGAGCAACAGAACTGTCAGCGCGGGTAGGGAGAAGGGAGAGAGATATGTTGTGATAAACTCCATTGAGGCCGAACTGAGTTCACCCTCCTCCAGTCACCCCCTCTGCCACTCAGGTGAACAGAAGGTGTTTAAATTTTTGCAAGGGGATATGCTGTTACTTGTCCCTGCCTGAGGCCTCTTCCAAGACCAGAGGCAGGGTGCTGTTTCCTCCTCTTCCTCTCTCTCCCCTGTTCTTCACTTCTCTGAACCACTGAGCATCTGAAAGCATCTGGTCTCTGCCAGGTGCTCTGATGGAGAGGACCAGAGCTGGGTTGGGGGGAGATTCCCTCCCCTTAGGTGGTTTTGCTCCCTATCCTGAGAACCCAACACTGCCCAGACTGAGCAGCCATACCTCCTGGGAGACATGGGAAGACCTCCAGGTGTGAACATAATTTCCCCTCTCAAGGGCCGTTTTAGGACAACATATTTCAAGAAAGTCTCCAGGATCACTCACCTTTGCAATAAAGTTCTCCATCTTTATCAGTGACATTTGTGGATTCCAGACTCTTCCCACAGATGGCACAGCGGAAACAGGTCTTGTGCCAAGGCTGAGGGGCACAGAAGAGTTGCATATTTAGTGAGGCAGGCAACACATTCTATTTCCATTTCAAGTCCCTGACCAGCAGCATCCAGAGGAGTGACACTGTCTTAACCATTTGCTTACCTAATGGGCCCCCATAATTTCTCCAGGGGTTTGGAGAAAATGAGATGCTATGGCCTTTGCCAGCACTTCTTGGAAGCCTGTAAATGGATTTGTCATGGTGATTTGCATATGTTTTCCTTCAGAGTAAACAGGAAAGAGCTTCCCCAGGCCAAAAAGATCCAAGGAAAGAACTGGTCAGAGAAGGACTTGGGCTTTATGTTGAACATAAAGAAGGAAAACAGTAAAGAAATCAGGCAATTGTCCAGGGAATTCAACCTTGTTTTAGCTCTCTTGTTTAACTCCTCTGTGTAATTCTAGTGGCAGGGTTGCATAATTTAGATGTTCTAGATCTCCAACTTCCTGTACATCTGCGTATCTACCAGGTACAGCCCAGGGCTTCTCCTGTGTCTTTGACTGGCCATCTTAGGGTGGAGCCTGCCCTTGTGTTTGAAGTTAGATGCTTTCCATGACCCTTCCTCCTACCATGTGGTATAAACAGAATTTTTATCTTTCCTCGAGTTTGACTCCTTTGGTGAGTACCCAGGCTTTGGGCCTGAAACTGGAACTTGCAGAGAACATATGCATGAGTGTCTCAGACATCTGATGACTTTCCTGAGAGCCAGGATGTTCGTGAGGATGTTTCTCGCTACTGTGAGGTGTCTGCTGTATCCATTGGTTGTGATGGCAACAATAGGCTGAGTTAGGCAGTGGGGGGGTTCTGGGGCTGACATCTTTTGGGGGGATTGTTGATACTGGAGGGTAGGGGGGTCTTTGCTTTGTATCGCAGAACTTTTAGCTGAGTGCCTGCCATCTAGTAGAATAATGCTTGCTGCATCAAACTGCACCAGTTCCAGCTTTCAAAGGACAATGCAGATGGCAGCCCTGGCCGGGGAAGTGGCTGAGGATGCGTGGTTTCTAAAGTGGTTCTGAGAGCTAGCAAGAATGACAGCTGCTCGCAGTTCCCAATTTTTCTCTCATTCCTCCCAAATGGTCTGGTGGAGACGAGCAAGTTCTGTCTGGCTCATACAGAAGGTCTTACCTTGCCACCTCCCATGACCTTCTCAGCAGCATAGACTGACTTGCCACATCGAGGGCACTTCTCGGACTCTCCAAACTTGGCAGTGAACTTGGAAGGGTTGCTGGTGGTGGCTGAGCGTGCAGGCTTTGGGGACCTGTTGGAAATAGACGAATGAAATGTAGGTCTTCCTTGGCAAACAGTACAAAAGCTGTGTGGCCTTGAGTAAGCGACCTCACTTCTCTGAGCCTTGGACTCCTCATCTTGAAAATGGGGATAATTATGATGTCTTTCTCGCGGCATTGTTGAGAGGGCTATAGGTGACACATGTAAAGCGCTTAGAATGATGCCCGCCTGGCTTGTAGTAAGGGCTAATAAATGTTAGCTTAAAAGAGTTTAGAGCTTTCCCTTTTGCTGTGAAGCACTTAGCAAATGTTCTAGGTTCCTGATGAACCACGGTCCATGAGCTGAAGCATTCCTCATCACAAGCCAGGCTGTCATCCTGCCTCCAAGGGTCACCTGTCTCAGGAGAACAATGTCCAAAATAGAGGCAAAGTAATAGCCTCTCATGTGTTTGTATCTTTTGGTGTTTGCTTATACATTATATCACTTGAGCTGTACCACAACCCTGTAAAGTTGGCGGGGCTGGTAGGAGGAGAGTGAGGATCAGAGCGTGACTGCCCAAGGCGAGGCAGCTCATGACAGATGGAACTAGGATGAAATCCCAGGTCTTCAGACCTTGTTACTCTTTGTGCAGCATCAGTAGGAAGCCCTGATGTTGAAAAGTGAACTTCACTTAGTGAGGGCAGAGAATGCAGTTGGCATCACCTTTTCTTCCTTATCAAGAGTCTCCCACTTAGATTCAGTAATAAGAAAAAATAACAAAAAGAAGTCTAAGATGACTAACCACATATTCCTCCACTTTTCCAGGCTCTCCAATGGCTTACTCTCTTTTGAAGGGATCAGCTGATTTCTCAGGTGGCCTAAATGCTTCCTGGGGGAGGCCTTCCATGGGACACTTCCTTGGGTGGGCTGGGCCTTTCTGGCCAGTCCCAGTGCAGAGCCTCATGAGCCTGGAGGCCAGCTGGCCAGACAGTAGAGTCAGGCCAGTGGCCATCGGACTTTTCTCAGTTCTGGGCTGGAGGTCAGTGTGATTTTCAAGAAAATGACCCAGGGGAAAAGACTGGTGGATAGAGATGGCCAGAATGATATTCCAGCTTCCCTAGGATGATGTGGTAGGAACTCTAGCACTGTACTGGCAACAGGCAGCCAGGGAACCCCCAGAATAATCATGATTGATTTTTTACTCTGAAGCACAGCCCAACCCTGCAGACACACTCTCCCTGCCATGTGGACATTAGTCCTTTTATAATCCAAGGGAAGAAATCTTTTCGTGACAGGCACACAAAGAATGGCCATTGCTTCCCTGCCATATTTATGTGATTTACACAGAAAGTCTCAAAGGGGAAGAAAAGAGACTCCATGCAGTTTTGCAAAGGTCAAACAATGGAACATCTGTACATTCTGGGTTTTCTCTTGACATGCAAACCAAGAACCATGGTGTAAAAGTAATTGCCCTTTAGAAAGGCAGATAATTTAAAGAGAGTCTTTGGAGAGATGACACATTGTTCGAACTTGGTCAGACTGAGTATTGCTATTGTTGGCAAGTCAACAATAGAGTCCATTCTCGCACTTCCAGAAAACGTTGCTATGGGAACAAAATGAACTGTCCTGATAATTGGAGACTTTAACAAGCAAGGGGGAGCAGAGCAGTAACTCACTGTTGGAATTGCAGGCCGAGATGCTCGCCCGTGTCCGTGCTGAGACAGCCAGCCCCTTGTCCATACCCGATCCCTTTGGGGCCGTATCTGCGCCCGTAGCACACCTTACAGTAGATCTCTGACTCATGAGCCGCAACTGTTGTGCTGTCGAGAGCCTTCCTGCAGGCCACTGCCAGGAAAAGGAAGGGTCATGGGATTAGAACTGAAATCCTTGTCCCCTTCCTTGCATTGCCAATGCCATGCTCAGGGCCAGAGACCCAGCACTAGGGATGCCTAAGCCAAGAACACAACGTTGATTCCTGACCAGAGCATCTGTCCTGAGTTGTACACTCCAAGTCAGTCCCGATCTCACAGATGAGGAAATTGGGTTCAATGGTTCCCAGCTGGAAAAGGTTGGAAGCCAGCATTAGAATGAAGTATATAGTCTCAGACCTACTAAGGACTGCATCCCTGAGTCTTCCCAAATGACATCAGGGAAGAGTGTGTGTGTGTGTGTGTGTGTGTGTGTGTGTGTGTGTGTGTTGGCAGGGGGTGGGTTAAGTCAGGAGAGAAACTTATTTTTTTCTTAATCATATAAGAATCAGGATTGAGCACTTTCTGTACTTACCATACCCTTTGAAGGACATTGTGATACTCAAGCAGACAATTGCCATTGAGGCTAGTTTTGGTCCAATTCTGGAAACAGAAGAGGTAGGGAAGGGGTAGACCTGCCTTATTAACACCTAATGATTCTATTGGCTCAAGGCTCCTGGTTACTGTATATTATCTAATGTAAAGTATCCCCAAATATAAGGCAATCAAGCCCTCATTTTTCCAAAGAGAGGATTTATAGAAAGATTTATTTTGCAAACTTAAAAAGAAACTTCTAAAGATATAAATAAAATGTCAAATATCTACTTATAATATTTAATTTAGTAACATAAATCAACAATATATTGAGTTGGAAAGGTTACATTTTCTAATCTCACATAAATTCAGGGAATAATTGTCTCCAATTCTGTCTTTGCATCTTCAACATCAGTATCTCCCTCACCACGAGAATCATTTCTGGGGGCAGTTGACTCAGCTTTTCTGAGCAGCTCACCTTCACTTCTGTCTGCAAATTTTGAGAGGCAGCTCTGTTTTATACCTGAGTAGGAGGTTGTCACCTAGAAATTGCATCTCAACAATAAGGACCTATTAGCATAGCATTAGGGAAGATTTTTTTTTAAAAAAAGATACAGGATTTCCACAATGTAACAACTTGCTACATTGCTTTGCAATAATGATTCTTAAAGATTGTTTATAGTGATACTCAGTGCTCATAATAGTGAGATCATATCCCTAGGAATATAATATGTGTGCATTAAATGTATTTGCCTTTAAAAAAAAAAAAGAACCAGTGCCATCAAACGATCCCTATAAGCAATCCAGCATTGAATGAGGTTATTTCAGGCTAATATGCCTTTCTCAAATGATATTTTCTAGTTAAAAAAAAAAGTAATTGAATATGGGAGTGGAGGAAGAAGATAAGGTTGTAGATGAGGTAGGATTAGGCAGGGGCTGATGGGTGTGGGACAAGGGAGTTTATTCTGGGAGTTTATTTGACAATTCTGTCAATATTGTAGGTGTCAACATCTATACCAAAAAAAAGTTTAAATCAGTAAATAAAATATTTGGAAGAATGTCTTATAGCAGAAGAGACTTTACAAAGCTTTAAACACAAGGCATACATTTTTTATGAAGATGAATTTGGGGAGAGACCGCCTTATATTGGGACATAGAAGGTATATACTTGTCTCCAACCTTCTTGTTACTGTCAGTTACCAACCTCCACAACAACTGTTTGCATATCTGCTGATAGTCTAGACTCTGAGTTCCTTGAGGGCAAGGATGTTTTGTCTTAATATTCCTAGAATTTAGCGCAAGGCCTTGGCCGGAGTTAGTCCTCTGTAAACATTTGTTGAGTGGGTGAATGAATGAATGCATGAACGTGTCAATGTAAATCAGTGACTTGTTCACAGTTACAGAATAGTAAGTTGCAGAGCCACAGCTTACCTCAACTGTTTTGACTCCCAGTACAGTGCTCATTCCCATCATTCCAAGACTTCCTATACCCTATTGTGCTCTGGCCAGTTCTGTAGCCACTCCCTGGCTTCTGATGAGCTTTTGTGCACAGACAAAGGAGAACTGTGCTGTCCAGTGCTATAGCCACAGCCGTATGCTATGCTATAAGCACGAAATGCACATCAGATTTCAAACAGCACAAATGCAAAAATCATGTAAAATATCTCACTGATCATTTGTATATTGAAATCATAATGTTTTGGATACAATCGGGTTAAATTAAATGTTTAAAAATTAATTTCATCTGTTTATTTGTATCATTTTTAAACTATGGTTACTAGAACATCTAAATTTAGATATGTTGCTTGCATTATATTTATTTCTTTTGGACAGCAAACGTACTTTCTAGATTTCATAATTAGTCTAGAGATTTAATTATGCAGATTTATCTAGAAGTCAGGAGAACACTGGCCTGGGCACACTGTAAGGTAGACCCTGTGTCTCTGAATGCTATTTTCAGCAGCTACAGAGTTGTCTGTGGGCAGGTGATTATCTTGTGGTACTAATATAGAAAAGCATGCCCCTCTCTGAGGTTCTAATATCCATCATTCCTGAAATGTATGCTGCTCAGATCCTCATCCCATCAACGAACTCTCAGGAAATATCAAAGAGTTAAAAGGAAGATACCGAAAAATGCTCAAATTTCTTCCACAATTGCTCTTTGAACAGGGCATCTTCCTGCTAGCTGGAAAGACAAGACACTCCTACTATGGAAAGCTTCCCTACACTTCCCTGCTGCCACTCAGTTACCAAAGTTGGTCAAAGGGGACTACAGGCCCAGAAGGCTGGATTTCCAGATCGAGACCCCCAGTTTTCTCCTTGTAGCAACCTGTGCAGTAGGTATAACCATCTTCATTTTATAAATGGAGAAATTGAGGCTCCCCATGGTGAAATGACCTGCCCCAAATCTCAGTTAGCACATGGCAGAACCCAGACTCAAACACAAGTCCCTTTTACTCTAATTCTAGTATTCATTCTAATATTCCTGCTATTTTTTTAAAGAACTCTGGCTATCTTTGGACAAAATTCCCAATAGATGGAGTCCAGCCCTTTGAGTTCTTTACAATTGCATGGATACCTTGCAGCTACCAGATGAAGCATGAGAATGTGCTGGCATGGCAGTGGGGACTCATCATGGAGGGGGCTTGCCAGATATCCAGCAGAGCTAGCCCTTAAGCCAGACCTCCTGGAGGGAAGCAGAGAAGATGAATAGCCATTTCAAAACCAAGGCCAATTTTCTCTCAAACCGGACTAGCTGCCAGGAAACAGTGTAGAATGCAGTCATGTCAAAGACTACTGGACATGGAGTCTGAAGGTAGAGGTGCAAGTACAAGGCTCTACTACAGATGCACATGACCTGGGCTTAGACGTGAGAAATGACTTGTCCAAAGTCACATGAGTCAGGCAGCATCAGACTCCCAGAGAACCATGAGGTCTCAAGATTCCCCTTATTTTTGACATTTGTGAGTCAGTGTCTGGTGGGTAATGGTCAGGATTCCTTTCATGAAGTTACTGGTGCCTAGGCCCTGAAATGCTTCCCTCTCTGACTCTTACATACAGAGTTGGCATGTGTTGCCCCACTGCCTGACATAGGTTCTTTCTCAGGCAAGACCAGTCACATCTGGCTTCAGTCACAGCTGACCAGAAGGGGCAACACAGATAGCCAAATCCATCCTGGCTCCAGATAAGTGCTGGATTCCTTTCTCTGCCAAGTCACATGTTGTCAATGTTACCATGGGGTCAAGGTTTTCCCTGCAGAGAGCAGTGGCAGGCCAGTTTGTTCTGACTTTGAGCTACAGGAAAATGAATGGCCTCTGAGCTGGGCAAGTGGTTGAAGCAAGGGTGCTCAGGAGAGTACCATCCTTTTCTTGGTGGGGCCCAAGAGTTAAATTTCTAACCAGTTCTAAGGTGATGCTGATGCTGCTGGTCCTGGGAACCACACTGTAAGAACCACTGACATACAGTGTTTGTGTGATTAAATGTGGACTTTGTGATGCTGTCCAGATGCTGAGGGGCCCCCAGAGTGTCTACCCAACTCACTGCAGTGGAAACATGTCTTGTGGAAACTCCTTCCGTTGCACTGGATTTCTTCTGCGTGGTAGACGGTCTTTTCACAGGCTCCACATTTCGCTCCTCCACCCCAGTTTGGCATCTTGAAGACTATCTGGTCAAGGTCAAGTCTAAGAGGACATAAAGCAAATATCCTGCATTTAAATGGCTCTAGGAGTGAACCAATCTCTAACAGTGCAGTGATCTGAAGACCAGGACCCAGCCCGATTTTTCTTTTAGTTTTTCATTTACTCATTCATTTAGCAAATAGCTACTGTGTGCTAGTCATTGAATAAGCTCAGACACTTAGATGACTTTGGGTGATCACTTTACCACTTGGGAATTCAGTTTCTTTTCCTGTTAAATTTCAGTAACATCTATTCCTGCGTATTTTACAGGGCTCTGGGAAGGAATGAATAGGCTAATTTCATGTACATAAAAGTATATACAGGGCCCGGCGCGGTGGCTCACACCTGTAATCCCAGCACTTTGGGAGGCCGAGGTGGGTGGATCATGAGGTCAAGAGATCAAGACCATCATGGCCAACATAGTGAAAGCCCGTCTCTCCTAAATTACAAAAATCAGCTGGGCATGATGGCGTGCACCTGTAGTCCCAGCTACTCAGGAGGCTGAGGCAGGAGAATTGCTTGAACCTGGGAGGTGGAAGTTGCAGTGAGCCAAGATCGTGCCACTGCACTCCAGCCTGGCACCTGGCAACAGAGCAAGACTGTCTAAAAAAAAAAAAAGTATATACAAATATTGTTTTATTATTTTTTTCCATCTCAAGTTTAAAAAATTATTCCATCAGAAGTGGGAATCATCTATGAAAATGATCTTTTCTACTTGTCTAGCTAAGAGCTTCTCAAATCAACTTGAACCTTGCTAAATGCAGATTCTGGTCTGGTAAATCTGGGGAGACGCAGGAAATTCTGCATTTCTAACAGACTCCAGGCAATATTGATGCTACTGGCAGTGGGCTACATTTTGGGTAGCAAATTCTTAGCTTATCTTGCTGAGAAAAATATATATTAATAATATATAAAATCTCCCATTCAGAGTTATTCCTCATATCCATAAATTCCTTTTTAAGAATATCATCGCCCAGGCTATCAGACATATAGGCACTACACTAGGTCAGTAGTTGGAAACCTACTTTCTGCTTTCTGAGCTCCCCTCCCCCTGCTGTGCATATCAGGATGAATTATATAGCTTCTTTTTATACCTGTTTTCCCACCTATACAGTTATTCTTTTCCTTGCTGCTTCAGTGTTCTTTAGAGAATCAAATGACATGATGTGCAGGAGGTCTCACAGAGTTTGCAGTGTTCAGTAGGATCTAGATCATGGTGCTGACGTGTCCTCCTGCACCCTTGGAGACATTCAGTAGCAAGGAGCTGCTGATGGCCACAGCCTCAGGACTGTCATTGTCTCCTCACCAGAGAATTACGTTTAAGAGATATTAACCAAAGAAAACCAGTTTAAAAAATAATTGTCCTCTGTATTTTTAGTAGAGACGGGGTTTCGCCACGTTGGCCAGGCTGGTTGTGAACTCTTGACCTCAAGTGATCCACCCGCCTCAGCCTCCCAAAGTGCTGGGATTACAGGTGTGCGCCACCGTGCCCAGCATAAACAAAAGTTAGCCGGGTGTGGTGGTGCACGCCTGTAATCCCAGCTACTCAAGCAGCTGAAGCAAGAGAATTCTTTGAACCCAGGAAGCAGAGGTTGCAGTGAGCCGAGATTGTGCCACAGCACTACAGCCTGGGCAACAGAGCAAGACTCTGTCTCAAAATAAATAAATAAAATAATAACAATTCTCTCATCTGCATATGTTTTCAGTATGAATCCAAGTTTTCAGTTTCCTCAAAGCAGAACTAAAATAAGCCATTGGTGTTAAATGAAATTTCTGAAATTCAGCTGCCCAGGGGAGCTGAATTTTCACTGGGATCCTCTAGTTTCTGAGAAGTCTGGTGTGTCATGACACAGAGCACTAACCAGCCATTCTGAGTGGCTGCTTCTGACCTTCACTTTCCCCTCTGGGAAGCCAGTCACCTTCTTATAATAGTTGACGATTAACACTAAACCCTCCTGTGTCAACTGGTCCAGATTGTATCTCACAGTCTCAGAACAAAGACAGTTTTTTGCTAAGAAACAGAAAGTAAATAGCAAACAGACCACTGAACCTGACACTAGTGCTAGAAGGAATGTTTCTATCTAAATATTCCCCCAGAGAGCTCTTCCTGCTTAGAAAAACTGTGAGATTAGCCAGGAACATCCTATCCTTCCTCTTATAAAAGCAGTATCTTCTGCTAATTCAGTAAAGTTTTAGAAAAGAACTTTAAAAAAGGAAACATTGGACTGGGCATGGTGGCTCACACTTATAACCCCAACACTTTGGGAGGCCCAGGAAGGAGGATCACTTCAGCTCAGGAGGTTGAGACCAGCCTGGGCAACATAGTGAGACCCCTGTCTCTACTAAAAAAAAAAAATTACCCTGGTGTGGTATCATGCTCCTGTAGTCAGTCCTAGCTACTCAGAAGGTTGAGGCAGGAGAATGGCTTGAGCTCAGGAGTTCCTGAGCTCAGGCTTCAGTGAGCTCTGATCACACCACTGTACTTCAGACTAGGTAACAGAGCCAGGCCCTGCCTCTAAAATGAATAAATAAGAGTTTCTTAAAATATGGAAGCATGGCCGGGCGCGGTGGCTCAAGCCTGTAATCCCAGCACTTTGGGAGGCCGAGGCGGGTGGATCACGAGGTCAAGAGCTTGAGACCATCCTGGTCAACATGGTGAAACCCCGTCTCTACTAAAAATACAAAAATTAGCTGGGCATGGTGGCGTGTGCCTGTAATCCCAGCTACTCAGGAGGCTGAGGCAGGAG